TCTCTTCTCATGCGGCTCAACAGAAGTGCTCACTGTAAGTGGCCTTGGGAGTCCCCACACTCACTGTTGTTGCTCAGGCCCTGGGCACACCTTTCTGCTGTGGATTGATGTATTCAGGATGGCTGGGGTGTGGCCAAGGAGGGTTATCTTACAGCTGAGATTCACTGCAACTTAGCAATTGTCCTCATCATTATCTCATTGTTAATATTCATGGCGGCTACTAAACTTATGTAAGAAGTTTCCTAGATGCTTTCACTGTTCATTTCCTCTGTTCTGTGTTTGTTTCTGAAATGTAATGGTGTTCATTGCTGTCATATGTCACCTGGCAGCGTTGTCATTGCTGTCACGTGTCACCTGGCAGCTTTGCTGTGCTATGGTTTTCACTCTATTTTCTTCCTTTTTACTAAGCAGTGTTCACATCTTTGGCTCTTAGTATTTGTCTGTACTGAATGATGAAAAGGGAGTAAAGAGATTTTCACATGAACATGGGTTAAGATTTGACCCTTGTCTCCCTGACAGTGCTCCCAAGGGTCCACTTCTGTGCCTTGAAGCCTCAGGGCAGACATCCAGGGTGTGGAGCATGGGGCCTGTGCTTTTTCTCAGCTGGGCAGTTGCCGATGGGACTTCCTCTTGGCAATTCCTACTTCCACTTGTCCTGTGGATCTAGTGACTCAGCCTGGGCTTTGAGGATTAGTTCCTTCATTTCTTTCCTCTCTGCATCAAGGCAATGATGAGAGAGACACAGCCTGGGCTGCGGGGTTGCAGGTGCTTAGGCTTGTTACTTGGTGCTGTTTCCTTGCGAGCATCTACAGCTGGGTCTAGGTACCATGCATGTCAGGGCTGGGAATGTAAATGGAGTGGTGGTTTCCTTTTCTGGGGATTGATGCAGTGGATGGGGGGTTTCCATTTGTAGTTGAGGGCCAGGCATTTGGGTCCTTCCATGTGGCAGGGATAAAGAGGAGAGCTGGCCTCTGGAATCCTGCTCTGTCTGAAAAGCAGTGCCTCTGCCACCCCAGGACGGAGGCCAGCTTCCAGCCCTAGCTGATGGGGTATAAGCAGTGAATTCCCCGAGTTGTGTCATGGCAGACCTTTGGGAGGTTCACTCGGCCTCCGTTTGACCTCATGAGGCCAAAGGCTGCAGCCCCATGTATTTCATGCGCTGTTGAACATATTTGTATTTCATTGGCATGAATGATAATTTGGTTGAAAGGAGAGATGGTCGCCAGTGGACTCAGTTTAGGAAGGCAGAAATATCAACACCTTTTGTTTCTAGAACGTAGCCAAAGAAAAGTGCAGAGGCACTTTCAGCGATAGTGGAATGCCCAGCTGGGGTTCCAGTTTGATTCTGTGTTCCAGCCAAGTGTGCCCCTCCAGAAAACAGATTCCTGGGATCCCAGCTGCATTTAGTGCAGGAAGGTCATTTGCATGTTTGTGCTGGCTTTGTTAAAAGGAACTTATTGCCACGAGGAAGTGGGTAGAAACGGCTGATGAAATGTTCAAAGGAAACATTTCAATGGCTATTTTTGGCTCTTGAATGAAATAGATGTCAAAGATAAAAATAAGCTGCCCAGGAATAGTAGCTGCTAACCCAGAAGAGTGGCTGGGAAGGCTCCTGCCTGCGATCACCCAGACAGTCAGGCCTGAGCCCCGGCTTCTTCCCCTGGGGCCACAGGCCTCCCAGGTGGTGTTTTCAGAGGTTGAGTCTAGGTTCGTCTGTGTCCTCTGCTTTGAAGATTGCTGATTTTTTTTAGGGTTTACTTGGATAAATGGTTTTTCCTGAGCATAAAATCAGTATTTGTTTATGTTTATTGTACAAAACATGGAAAATACCCGACAGCATAAAGAAGGGAATGAAAACCATGACTTCTTGGTGAGTGCTGCTTCTGTTCCCATCGGGCTAATGCTGCTTTCCTGTCTTGTGGGCATGAGCAGCTTTCAGAAAGTGCCATTTGAGTGGCCAATCACCATCATGTTATGTTCTGTGTGCTCATTAACAGGGTGGAAAGAGATATATGAATCCAAGAAGTAGCCAGAAGTTCATTTCTTCAATTTTCCAATATGAAAAACAAGTAGAGCACAGCATGTCTCCATGTGTGTGCGTGTCCCGGTGACTCTGGAGCACTCAGTGACTTAACATGTGCTCCAGCATCGAGGACCCTGGTCCCCGGTGCTGTTATTTCCTGACCCTGTGTGTGTCCCTTATTTGCAGCAGTGACTCTTCGAGAAGACAGTGCCAAGAGGCTGGAGAGGAGGGCACGCCGCATCTCCGCGTGCCTGTCAGATTATTCGCTAGCCAGCGACAGTGGGGTGTTTGAACCTCTAACAAAAAGGTCTGAAGTCAGTCTTGCTATTTCCTTCTCCCTCCACAGAATCACCTGTGTTACTGGCAATCACGAAAAGATTACATACTGAAACTTCCATACATTGACACTTTGTTTATTTTTCCAGGAGTAGGATATTTTTCTAGCTTCTTTCACCTTTGGGTGATTGGGCTTTAGAAGGAAGTCCTTCTCCCTGGCCCTGGGGGCCTAAGGCTCGAGTCTGATGGAGCTCAAAAAGGAGAATCAGTATATAGGAGAGCCCTGCTTTTCCGAAAAGGACATTTATTCATTAGAAATGAATTTCCTCCCTTCCTCATTTTCTTAGCTACAGGAATGGTTTCACAATGACACAGCACCTTTTAGAATTCCATGCTTTATTTTGATCAGGCATCTTTGATGGCATTATTTCTTTATATAATTTAAGTCTCAGGTTTCTAGAAGACAGTTCACTTAAAGTTAATTTTTGGACATTTCCCCAGGTATCACATGTGGTTTTGAAATGTATGCAAAGTTATTTTCTTATTCTTTTTCTTTCTTTCTTTCTTTTCTTTTTTTTTTTTTTTTTT